GTAATTTTACTAGCACTTTTCAAAAAAATTGTTTGTTTGAAGACTGGAAGCCTGATGAGCAAGATATTATTATTTTGTTCGGGACTTTAGTTTGAAACCATTATAAATAAAGGTTTTTGGGGTAACTGTCTTTGTGTGAAACTTTACATGGTGAAAGCTAACAAGTGCACAAGCTTCTCAAAGATAATGCTTGGAATTAAACTTGAGCTTTTATTTTCTTGTACAATTGTTAGTAATTATTCTTCAGTGTAGAAGTTCAGTTCACACTGTATGGAAGCAGCCACAAATTTTCCCAACTTCTATAGAACATTGCTTTGTATAATATTTAGCAAAAGCATAGGTTGCCAAGCATGAGTGTAGTTCAAGCCGAAAGGAGAATGCCCAACCCACCAATCCCACTATCTTACATTGGCAATTTTTATTTTTTATTTATTTATTTTTTCATAATTAAATGATTTGATAGTTGAGTCTGAAGAATAATTTCCATAAGACACTGCATTGGGCATGTCCCATAGTTGAACATCAAGAGTTCACGTGCAAGAACATTATTTGTTAATAAGTTAACAATATAATGGAATATTCGAAATAAGAGTAGGGCACAGAAAAATAAAAAACTCAACATCCACTAAAAAACTTGATGATAATAATAATAATATTTATAGCAAACTAAAAGCACTAAACAGCATTTAGCAAGACACAATCGTAAAATTGTAACAGTTGTGAGTTTCTTTAGTGGAACAATTAAGTAATCCTTCCGTCTCAAATTATTAGCCCGGAAAACAAGAACTTAAAAATAATGTATTCTTTTAATTTGTGAAAAAAAATTTGAAAATTTTGGGAAAAAAATACATTATTTTTAAGTTCGTGATTTGCGGCGGACAAACAATTTGGGGTGGAGACAATAGTAATTTTCACCTCATTAAATGTGCACCATTAGAAACCTCGCCCCTATGCAAGCTCTCTCAATCTTTTCTAATCTAACATTTCCCCTACAGATCTTAATTTATCACTGATAGATTGACCCACCCAACATATTCACATCTACAATGACAAAATCAGTGGTAAATTCATCACTGTATAAAAAAAAAAAAAAAAAAATCAACAACAGAAAACATAGTATAACCCAAAATAGCCAAAAAAAGGAAAACAGAAAAAAAGCAATAAAGCTCAGCCATCCAAAACATATAATGGAGATTCAGTGAGATTGAAATAGATGTTGTCCAGTACCTTAACAAGGCTATTAAGCTTTTCCTGCGTAATTGAAAATTCAGCCTGCAACCAACTAAGGGCTCTCGTGACTCTGAAACGAAAATACTTCAGGGATAAATCAGTGCTTTTAATAAATCAAAATTATATCTAAATTTATATATTATATATATCATATGTTATTAAAAAAGAAGAAAACATGAAAGAGAATAAAGAACTAACAAAATGAGTGGACCAAAAGAAAAGAAAAGGTAAAATAGTAGAGTCTTTAGGCTTAAACAATCAGCTTTGCTTGAAAGTGCGATGCGTGGACCTATAATGCAAGAGACAGTCCAACAGTCACATCACTCCAAAGCTTGAAATTTACACAAAGCATGCACTTAAACCATAGAACATTAAAGATTTGTAATCTTGTGTATGATAACCAAATAAGCTGCCGCTGCCGCATGTGCTGCTGAGTGATAAATTTCAAGAACAAGTATAACATAAGCCTGTAGATACTAAGGCCATGTTTGTTTGGGCGGACTGGATTAGTATTCCCATGACTAATAGTCCTAGGACTACGAATCCGTTGGATTATGGATCATATCTTAACTAATAGTCAAGTTTAAAATAATTAGTCCGTACTTCAATTGTTTAACCAAACATCGGATTAATAATTTTATTGGACTATTAGTCCAATCCCATACTCATGTCCACCCAAACAAACATGGCCTAAATATACTGAAGAAGTTTTGCACGCTTTGAATCGACAGATGATCATAGCTAATATAATGCAAAGAGGCTCCACAAATTTGCCATTGCAAGTATGGAGAAAACAAAAGATTCCTGTGAAAACAACAGATTAAACTTAAATTTGACACTATTCCAATGATGAAAGAAATTAATATTTGTATCTTAACGGTTACAAAGACTTCGACAAACAAACTTAAATTAATCTTAATGTGGACCACTGTCACACAAGACCTAAATCTTGTACTCAATTTATTCTTAATTTTATATCTAGTAGGATGGATGGAAAAAAGGAGGGAAGGAAAGTACATACCTAGGGAAGGGATTGGGTTTCTCTCCTCTCTCTTTCTCTCTTCTCATCCAGCCATTTTTGCACGGATAAGTTTTGGTCGGCCTGGGAGGAAAAGGAATCCTCCCTCCTCTCCCTTCCCTCTCCTCTTGCCTGCTGCCTTCCTTACATCTTTCCACCCTACCATACATACCATGAGTTTCACATCCACGATAGCAACAGTTGTATAGCCATTGGCAAGCTGAATTTATCTCATGGCTCCACCTTGCCTTTCAAGACTATTCCACACGGATGCATGTAGAACAATATTTTTATGCACAGGCTATAGTTGCATGTCAGGTGGATTTATAAATTTTCTTCCAAAGAATCTAATTTATATTGGAAGCATGTATTTTCAATGATCTAAGGATTTTAATTTCTATCAAAAACCTAAAGTGACAGTCATGTTTTGGTAACGAACATCACAAGGCTGCGAAAAGAAAATTTAACCCAAGAAAAATAACTTCTAATATCAATATTAGGTGATTAAATAGCTGAGTCAAATTGTTGACAAGTATATGTTTAAAATGATCATATTTTTAACTGGTGAAGTGTCTTAAATGGCATCAGCTATGCAACAAGAAATTAATTAATCAGCATTCAGCAAAAGTTTAAAGTAGAATCATATAAGATACAAAGATGCTGATTGCTGGACTACATGTTACTGCATTTGTATAATGGGAAATGCTTTGATGTATGTATAGAAGTGTATGAAACTGTGAAAAATGAGTAGAACTGTGTAAAAGTATTTTGGGAATATGTAAATTCTAACAATTTTTGCATTATCTTCACCTTAAAGACAGCTCATAGAGTGGTCATGAGCATGACCCATAAACATAGTGCTAGCTAGCATATGAGATTGAAGGCCTTTAGCTCTACAAAACTGTACTTCAAAGTCCACCGAAGGCCTAAGTCAAGGTTCTGAAAAGCGGTTGCGGTCGCCGTAACGATGGCGGTGACGCGGTTGCGGTTGTGGAATGTAAAGGCCGTAGCGTAACGGTTGCGATAACTGGAACCATGAATACTTTTATTTTTCGCACAATTTGGATCAGACTTATCGATATGCACATTTTTTTCCCATGATCATATTTATTGGGTTTTAAAATAAATATTGATAAATTTTTACAAATTTTTAAGTTTGATCCAATATATTTCATATTTTTAAATCACTATAAACTGAGTTTTTTACATTTTATTTTAATAATTAATGACTTTATATTATACAAAAAATCAATCACTAACTATTATATATAAGATAAACAATGACAAAAGTAAGAGAATAAATAAAAGCCTATTATTATTATTATTATTATTATTATTATTATTATTATTATTATTATTATTATTATTATTATTATTATTATCAAACAATATATAGATAGACACACACAAACAAAATGGTTGAGTGATAGCAGCTGAATAGAATAGCATAGGTCTTACAACTTCAACAAATCAATAACATGTTCTTCATCTTCCCTATTCTCTCTCTCTATCTCTTGTTCCTCCATCTTCCCTCTTCTCTCTCTCTCTCTCTTCCCCCATTTTCAACTTTTTTTTTTTTTTGTGTTTTTTCGAAAGAAGCAATTCGAAACCGTTACGTAACGGTGCATAACAGGTCGTTACAGCCGTTACGGCACCGTTACGACTGCTATAGCAGCCGTTACGGCCGATACACCTGTGAATCTCAATCACACTGCAAAAGCGGCCGTAACGGGTGGCTGTAACTACCACAACCGTTACGTTACGTAACGGCGTTACGTAACAGTTGCGGCCGCCTTTTAAAACCTTGGCCTAAGTTTAATTCAAAAAGATAACCAGTAACATATGGGCAATTTGTAAACTCAATAGTTTATTAACACAAAGAATGAGTGACAAAGAAATAATTGAACACCCAAAAAAATTGAAAAATACTGTAGAAAAATTTACTAACATGAACCCACTGAATAATGTGAGTTGGGATCTTAAAACTATTCTTCTATGAAAATACTTTGTAAGGCATCTACTTTCTCACAAAACTAACAGTCCAGAAGCACAGTAAAAGGTAACAGTTCACATAATTAACCTCTTTGGTCCAATTAGAGACTAAAACAGTTCTCTTTGCCTAAATTTTAATAATTCTTTGAGGAATTTGATATTTTGTTCAGCTATGAAGCATAGACATGGACACGGGGCATAGATACGATATGAAACACGAAAAATTTCAAAAAAGTAGGACACAAACATGTAAGATTTCTGAATGAATTGTGTATTCAACTGGTTTCTAATACAAAGAGTACATCATCTTATATAGAACTCTAATCCCTAAAACTAAAAAGGAAATACGAATAATGCTTAATTACCCAAAATATCTACACAATCACAATCATTCTAAATTCCTAAAATAGAGGATATACAATATTCTCACACCTCTGCTTAAACTCTTAGTACTCAAGGCGTTTTAGCAGAAAACACTAAGAGTTTGTCGAGAAGAAACCGAAACCGAAACCGAAACCGAGCAGTGGTGTGAGTTTAGGTGAAGAAGTCAACAAGTTGCAAAGCAGAAGTGACAAAAAAAAAAAAAGTGAGATAGAGCCTGATTGTAGATGCTGACGAACGAAGTGACAATCGATCTCGATGTGTTTTGTCACTCATGAAAGACAGTGCTATGGGCAATCTAAATATCACTTTAGTTGTCACAGTAGAGAGAGGTTGGAGAGGATTGAGGGACGCCTAAGTCAGATAAGAGACAACGAAGTCAAACAATTTTAGTAGTAGCATGAGCCATAGCACGGTACTCAGCTTCGACAACAGAACGGGCAACTACAGCTTGTTTCTTGCTTTGCCAAGAAATCAGGGAATCGTCAAGAAACAAACAGAAACCTTGAGTGGGCTTGTGATCATTAACATCACCAGCACAATCAATATCAGAATCGGCCACCAAGTCCAATGAAAAAGTAGAAGACAATAGCAAGCCCTGAAAGATAGTACCGTGAAGATAGCGAAGAATCCGAACTAAAACAGCCTAATGTTTAGAGCAAGGAGCAGAAACAAACTGGGTAACCACATGAACAACGTTATCAAGATCAAGGCAAGTAACCGTCAGAGAAACTAAGCAATCCACAAGCTCTCTATATAAAGTAGGATCATCTAGAGGAACACGATCAACGGTGTTGAGTTTCACATTAAGCTCAATGGGGGTATTAGAAATCTTAGTATCAATGAGACTGGTAGAGTGAATAAACTCATTGGCATACTTGGCCTAGGACAGAAAATAGCCCTTGGGAGAAGAAACTACCTCAATACCAAGAAATTACTGCAAGGGGCCCAAATTCTTTATTTCGAAGGTTCAGAAGAGATGCAACTTGACCTCACAGATAACAGAAGAGTCAGGATCAGTGATAATCACATCATTCACATACAGTAATAGGGCAACAAAACTAGCAAAGGTGTAGAGGAGAATAAAGCAGAGTCCTGAGCACAAAGATGAAACCCAAGCTCAGCAACAGCTGTTTGAAAGCGATCATACCAAGCATGAGAAGATTACTTTAAACCATATAGAGCACGCCGAAAACGACAAACTTGTCTAGAGGAATGATAAAGGCTAGGGGGAGGACGTATGTAAACCTCCTTAGTGAGATGACCATTAAGAAAAGCATTCTTAACATCTATCTAATAAATAGGCCAACGACGAATAGCACTGATAGAGATCAAAGTACGAACAATAGTCACCTTGGCAACAAAGGCAAAGGTCTCCACTTAATCAATACTATACTCTTGTGAAAAACCATTGGCAACCAGGCAAGCTTTGTAGCACTCGAGAGAACCATCATATTAAGTCTTGACTTTATAGACCCATTTGCAACCAACTAGATTCTTACCAACAGGCAAAGGAACCAACTCCCAAGTAGTAGTCTTCTGCAATGCAAATAATTCATCCTCCATAGCTCGAATCCAATTAGGATCCTAATAGGCCTCCTTATAAGACAGGGGTTCTGAAAAAAAGTGAATAGCAAACAAAAAGGTGTAGTATGAAGGTAAAAAACATGTTCTATCAAAACCAAGTTTGACTACCTGTTTATAGTTGCAAAAGGGATATTTATGGGTGGCAAGATCAGAGTCATCAGAAGTAGGAGGATCAATGGTAGGGGTAGAGACAACTGGCAGAGAGAGCCTTGTGACAAGAATAGACTAAGAATGGAGAAGGAGAAGGAACCGGAGGGGGAACAAGAGGAGAAGAGAGAACAAACTCATGGGGGTCAGTAGATAGGTACTCAATAAGAGAGGTGGTAAGAGAAGAAGAAGGAACAAGGTCATGGGGAATAGTAAAGATGTAGTCATCGGGAGGGACCACAGAGAAACATGGATCAATGTGAACCAAATCTTCTTTGGAAACCGGAGCTATGATAGGAGGAAGATGAAATTAAGACAAACGTTCAAGAAAGGCAACATGGTGGGAGACATAAAGGCAATGAGAAACAAGGTTGTAACATCGATAGCCTTTTTGGGTAAGATTGTAACCCAACAAGACACATAGGATAGACCGGGCACTAAGTTTGGTCCTATCTGTTAGAATAATATAATGTTTTATTTTTTTATTTTTTATTTACCTTAGCTGTAATTAGCCATTTCCTGATTTTATGCCTTAGGGCTTCCTTGTAATTAAGTTATTTGATTAGTATAAAAGGGAATGAAATCATTGTCATTCCCTAAGTTTGTTCTTCCTAAATCAATCATGGTATCAGCGCCAAAACCCTAAACCCATAACCGCCACACAGTCACAACCCATCAAGTTTTGACAACCCATCTTGTCTGTCTAGGGGTCGTGACAGCAGCCAACGCTTCCACAGGCTCAGTCGTCTATTGCCGAAGGCCACCCAAGCATAGCCAACTGCTGCCGACAGCCACCCAGGCCTAGTCAACTGTCGCCGGAGGCCCACCAGGACCAGTCGACAGCCCTTTTGCCCCACTGACAGTCTCTCTACCCAGCTAACAATCCCTCTGTCTGTTTCGACTCCATCAACAGCTTCTTTGCTCTTTGTTGACTCTTGCTGAGGTTTGTGTGAGACTCTGGTTCTGGGTATGTATTGATTAATATAATGTTTTACGTATTTGTTTTTATTTACCTTAGTTATAATTAGTTGGTTCTTGATTTTATGCCTTAGGGCTTCCTTGTAATTAAGTTATTTGATTAATATGAACGGGAATGAAATCATTATAATTCCCTAAGTTTGTTCTTCCTAAATCAATCACTATCTTTATAAGGAAAAAGGACAAAACAAACAGATCCAAAAACACAAAAAAGGAATAATTGGGAAGTTGAGAAAACAAAACCTCATAAGGAGACCGACTAGAAAGAAGGGGAGGTAGGCATATGATTGAGAAAAAAGTAGCAATAAGAATTGCTTCTCCCCAAAACAGAGTCAGAATAGAGGCATAGATAAGAGACCTAGTTGTCTCAAGGAGATAACGATGTTTACGCTCAGTTCGACCATTTTGGGTAGGTATATCAGTATAGGATGTTTGGTGAATGGTACCTAATTTGGCCAAATATTCACAGAACTCAATTTTAAAATATTCTCCACCCAAGTTAGATCGTAACATTTTGACAGTATACCCCAACTGTATAGTAACTATAGACTGAAAAGTACAGTATATCTGGTAGAAATCAGATTTATAAGTCATAAAATAAACCCAAGTATAGTAGGTGCAATCATCGACAAAAGAATAGTAAGCAAAATCCCCTTTAAAGAGAACAGGAGAGGGTCCCCAGACATCAATATGCACAAGAGAAAGGGTAATAGAAATAGTACATTTATTAAAAGGTAATGTTGCCATTTTGGCCAGTTAACACCCCCAACATTCAATAATTTGACTAAGAGGAACTTTACCTAACAATCCTGACTGAGCTAACGACCATAAACGATTAACAGACAATGGCCTAATCTAGAGTGCCACAAATAAAAATATAAAAAAAATCAACTAAGAATCTAACTGAAAAGAAGAAAAAACAATTGGAGAGGTGGACAAAGGGAGATGCAAGCTTTCCACCACATAGAGGTCTCCAACTCTACGACCGGTTCCAATCTGCTTCTTGGACTGCCAATCCTGCACACAACGAACAGAAGAAGAAAAGATAACATCATAACCAGAAGTATCAAGCTGACTAATAAAGAGTAAACTAACAAATAACTGAGGAACATAAAGGACAGATGGTATAGTGATAGTAGACATAGCAGAGGTTAGAACAGACCCAACAGATAAGACAAACATACTAGGCCTATTGGCAGCATTAACAATAATAGGAAATGGAGGGGGAATACAGTTATGAAGTAAAGAGAAATGGGGAATCATATGATGAGAAGCACCATAGTCAAAGATCCAAACTGAATGAGAAATATCTGAAGAAGAACAAAACAAAACAGAATGAAGAGAGACGAGAGCGGAGACATATGGAGATGGCAGGGAGGTAGACAAGATATGTTGAAGCTGAGCAATCTGAGCCCTCAAGGAAGCCAAGTCAGGATCTAAAGTCAGAGCAGATGCAGTATAAGCAACCGGAGGCCAAAAGGTACTCTGAGTAGGAGCTTGGAATTGTGATTGAGACTGTTAAGAAGACGAACGGCCCTTTTTGGGACAGTTGTACTTCCAATGGCCCCTCTGATGGCAGAAAGCACACTCATCGAAAGCTAGGGGCCCTTTCTCGGGCTTCGTAGTGCCCCAAACCTGATGAGGAGACGAGGTCAATAATAGGGGTGGCTGAGCAGGAGCTAAGAAGACCGAATGGGACAAAGTCTGACTTGACATCTTGAGACGTGTTTTCTCTAAAAGGAGCTCATGGACAATATCATCCACAGAAATGAGAGGAGACCAATGAAGGATGTCACCACGGATTGCCTCATACTGAGGGGGGAGAGCCATTAAGAACTGCATTAAACGACCCTGCTCCCGAAACTCAACATAAGCATCTAGTACCTTGAGGCTAGATGGTTCCATGAAAGCCAACTAATCCCAGAGACTTGTCATTTCAATATATAAGTCCTGAATAGACTGATCCCCTTAAGTAGCACCCTGAATGGCGGATTCCAACTTACTCCATTTGGCAAAGTTCGACTGCTGATACACACCCAGTAAATAATCCCATACCTCCTTGGCAGTACTGTATTTGGAAAACATCATCCCAATACAGTCGTCCACAAAATTATGGAACCTGGTCAGAATTTGGGCATTGTCATAATCCCAAGTATCACAGCAAGTCAGATATCCTTTCTTCTTTGGGTCCAATGGACGAGGAACAGAACCAGAAACATAGCTCCACTTTTTCTGACCAAGAATAAAACTGTTCATAACACTGGCCAAATAAGCATAATTAGCACCAGTAAGTTTGCATTTGATAGCTTTGGTTTTGGTGTCTGACATTGTAATAAAACAAAGTTTATAGAATAGATGGTTTAAAAGTACAATAAATGAAGAGCTGAAGGGTTAAACTGTAATAAATCTAATAGGATAGTACCAAATAGTCAAATAGGAGAGAATGCAAGCAGTCAAACAACCAGAAGTCGCGACGTTACCAGAGAGAGAAGACGAGCCACGAGAATTCAGAGTACTAAAACGAAAGGACCAAATGGGTAGCAAACCAAGGAGAGAAGTGGGAGTCGGCGATGGCAAACCAGAGAGAGCACAACGAATCAAAGATCAAAGTCGACTTCGACTTTCAAATTCAAGGTCGAAGTCGTGAAGCAAACCAGATCGTGAGAAATTTCGAAGACTCGAAGAGATTGAAATAAATGAGTCAATCAAACCAAATGAGTCGGACGAATGAAACAAGAGAAACAAATGACAAACCAGACGGCTGAAATAGATGATGAACTAGAGAAGATTTGACGAATGAGGCTAGGGTTTCGAACCTTGCTCTAATACCATGTAAGATTTTTGAATGAATTGTATATTCAACTTGTTTGTATTACAAAGAGTATATCATCTTATATAGAACTCTAATCCCTAAGACTAAAAAGGAAATACAAATAATGCTTAATTACACAGAATATTTACACAATCTCTATCATTCTAAATTCCTAAAATAGAGGATACACAATATATGCAATATTCTCACAGGACACGGCTTGGGCACGCCACAAATAATTATATATTGATATAATATTAACTAAGAATATATTATATTATATAGTTATATATGTGCATAATATATACAAAATTACATAATTACTTTTTAGACTATTGGATTGGACCAAAGTGGTTAAAAATTAGAAAAATTATAGGAAACATATATAATTGTAACATTTCCCTCATCCTTTTAAGCCATCTATTTATACATATTTTTTAAAGAATTATACATTACGTCATTCATAAGAATTATACATTGTTTTTAAGAACATAAGATATTTATGATAAATTCTCAAACTTTGAAAATCATATGTTAGCAAATGTCAAAGTGTTGGTGTCATGTTTATATTTTTTGAGATAGACATGGCCAAGAAGTGATTGACATGTCATAAAATGAGTGTCGGACATGTGTCCGACATTAATATTTTTAATTGTAATTAAGGACACGTGTGTAAGGAGTGTCGGTGTCCGACATGGACACGTTACTTTCTTAGAAGTGTTTGCAGTTCGTAGGATATTAGCTATAGTTCAAATGTTTAATGAAAAGGACAATTTCAATAAGGTCTTTCAGTTTGTAAGAATCACTTAGCAGTTTTAACGAATCATGACAATATGTCAAGCAGAATAATTGACTAATTATTTTATAATATTTAAAAAAAAAAAAACCAAGAAAGTTATATAGACAATAAAACCCATGACTAATTGCACGAGAAAAAGCTTACTTTCTCTCATGCTTCTCCTCACAAGCTTGAATGAGTTCCACACATGCACGTCTCACATGCTCGGCACCAATACTGCAATACCAAATACAAGATCAAGAT